GTAGGTTTTCAGCTAGGACAAGTCATATGTATTAGTCTGTAAGTCACTCTGCAGTGTGTGTATTCTGATCTCCCTACTAGTCAGATCTCTTTTGGTTCAGGAGCAGTTATGTGAGCCTTCGGGAAACTAGTAATGTGGCTTTAGAGCTCGCTGCTTCCTCTCTGGGAGTTTTATGCATGAAGTTTTCATATGCAAAATGTATGAATGTTCTTTATTTTTAATCCCAATCATAATACATTGTAATAATAATACATTCAAATCATAATAAATTGCATAGAGATCATAATCATTGTCATACAGAAAAAAACCAAACCGGATACACCCTTGAAATATGTCTTCTCCATTTTACATGCATTCTGCATTCCTATCTCTGATAAAGCCCCTCGGTTCAAGTTCCAGTGTCTCCTCTTGCCCTGGTTAACCAGAGCGTACCGGGCGATCCGGCAGAGTCTGTACTGAGATGCTACAAATGGTCTAACGAGCGGATACAACAACAGGAACTGTATCAACTCACATTTAGAAAACGGATACAAACACATCTCTTGGTTTCCGCTATGCCGGTTTATTAAACATTGATTTGATCGTGTCCATTTATTAGAGGTTTATTATAATGATCTGACCTGGTTATTTATTATATGAATTACATTTGTAAGGACTGGGAGGACTTCCGTCCACCAGTAGCCAACCTGCCATTCTCGGTTCGCAGCCAGGAATCGCAGCTAATGGAGGTAATGGAGTTTATTTAAAGTGTATGTATAGCCTGACAGGGAAGAATTCACCATCAATGGTATTCATCATAATATCTATGTCATGTGTCTGTTCCATCAATGAGTCTAAGGGGCTGATTTATAATAATATATATATACAGTATATCTTATATATAGAATATATATCATCTACCACCACTAGATGGAGCCGTGGCACATGGGAAATTCCTAACATTAATGAGCCAACAAGTTTTGGGGGCTCCAAACGCTCCCCCTTCATCAGGGCTCGTCACACTGCAATCAGCCGGCACGTACAGCTCCGTGCTGCGTGCACGGCCGTATCGGGCGGCTTCCGGGAAGGACGTGTGCTGCGTGTGATTAGTACGCAACCCCCGTCCTCTATGGGACTACGCAGCCGTACGCCGCCCTACACTCACCCCAAGTGCAGGACCGTACGGGTGCGGGTGTCTCAGCTCGGACGCAGACAGGATCTATTCTGTCAGCGTACGAGTACGGACACCCGCACGGATGTGCAGCGCGGGTGAGCGTGGGGCGGCGTACGGCCGCGTACTCCCATAGAGAAGGACGTAGGGGCTGCCTACTAATCACACGCAGCACCTGTCCTTCCCGGAGATGCCCGATACGTTTGAGCTGTACGTGCCGGGCCGTTTCGCGTGTGAATGAGGCCTTAAGGTGCCCATACACTGCTCGATTCTCGTACGAGAATCGCGCAGTGTGAACGAAGACGTGCGACCGTTTCTACTGTACGGTCGCACGTCTTTTGTCTAAGGAGCACGGTAGAAAACCAGCCGAGAATCG